TAGACTGGAGAAAATCTTGCATTGAAAACCCCTGTAGATACATAATTATTTTCCCAAGTCTTGGTGTAAAATTCATCTCTCTCCTCTGGAGTCTCCTTTGACTTTCACAAATATAAATAATTTTCTCTTTGGGAGTCCCCAAATATTTTCCATGTACCTTGGTTATTGCATGTATCAAAGTGGTTTGTAATTGCTTGAGTGTATGTCACAACTAGGCTGTGAGCACTGAGAGAGGGGACTGGGTTTGGGAAGTTCTATTGGCTCTCAGTGCCTTACCCAAAATAAGAGGCCCAATTTACAACAGGATTCTATCCCCTTATGCTGTGTATGCCCACACTTCTTCCTTCTCTCCTCTGCCTCATCCCACCACTAAAGGTTGTCACGATAGAATTAAGATCAATTCATTGACTCCACTAATTCGTCCTTTGTTTTGGACAAATTAGGGGGTCAAAATACATTTGAAACCAAAGTCTTCTCTAATTCTGCACTAAAAGTAGCAATTCTGATTTTGACATCTTAAACTGTACCTTTAGTTTACTTTCTCTTCCCCCATTAACCGAGGACAATTAAAGCATTTAGAGTATAATTGCAGACAAGGGTTTTGAAACCCCTTGGCAGTTCTTAGTTTGCCAATGACACAACAGATACTTAGGTACCTGCCTTTTCTGCTACCATGATTATTGAAACTTCTATTTTAAAATTTCTGATAGAGAATTTGGAGACCCCACAGGTTCCAGAGACGGGCTTGAAAAACAGTATTGTACCACCTGACATTAGATGAGATTCAAGTATTTCAGGGTTATTTTTATTATAGTAAATGCCCCAGGGTAGTTTTCATTGTAGAAAGGTTAAAAAAAGTTAATAGCACTGATTGTTCCAGGAAATGCCTCGTTTACAATAGCTCTTAGGATCTCAGGTTTGGGTTTTTTTTTTTTCTGAAAGATTTTCTTTAATAATACTATATATATAGTGACTATGTTTATGTTTCTTAAATGAGACGTAATTGACATATAACATTATATTAGCTTCAGGTCAACAACAATGATCTATATTTGTAAACATTGTAAAATGATTGCCACAGTGGCTTTAGGTAACGTGCACCACTGTAGATTGTGATTTTCACAAGAAAAATATTCTTTTCTTGTGATAAGATCTTTTAAGATCTACTCTCTTGTTTTCCAATATGCAATATGATATTATTAACTATAGTCATCATGCTATACATTATTACATTCTCATGACTTATATATTTTATAACTGGAAGTTTGTATTTTTTGTTTCCTTTCACCCATTTCACTCACCTCCCCCCTCCCCACCAATCTGTTCTCTGTATCTAAGGGCCTGGGGGGATTTTTTGTTTTTAGATTCCACATGTAAGTGAGATCATGCGGTATTTGTCTTTCTCTGACTTATTTCAGTTAACATAATGCCTTCAAGATCCATCCATGTTGTTGCAAATGGCCAGATTTCATTCACTGGGTGAATAATATTTCATTGTGCACATTTTCTTTTTTTAAATTTTATTTTGTGTGCACATTTTCTTTATCTGTTCATCCATCTATGTACCCTGTAGTTCCCGGCTGGAGTGGGTTCCCATTCCCAGCTTCCAGCAAGTTCACTATGGATTCAGTGAGACCAAATAGCAATGGAATGTTGGGGGGGAAAGGGGCTCATACCAAGCTTTATTCTTAGTAGTAGGTCAAGCACTAGAATTCTGTCTGGCTCAGTCTCTGCCCCAGATGCTGCCTGGCTTAAGGCTCTGTCTCCGCTCCCAGCCTCCACTCTCTTCTCTCCTTCTTCCTTCTGCTCTCCTCCCCAGGCTCCTGCTTCTGTTTTAGGGTCTCCTCTAGCACTAGGCAAAACTCTTTATATAACAACACAGGCAATAATAGCTTATTGCCAATGGGTATACAAGTATGTGCCTGCACAGTAGGCTAAGTATTACACCATTGCATGTATACAATGGGTATCAGGTGAGGATCCTGGCCATGGAACTTCATTTTCCCTACAGACATGGAGGTTGTTTCCATGTCTTGGCTATTGTAAATAATGCTGCAGTGGACATGGGGTACAGATGTCTTACTGAGTTAGTGTTTTTATTTTCTTCAGATAAATACTTAGAAATGGGATTATGGGATCATATGGTAGTTCAATTTTTAATTTTGAGGAAATTCCATACAATAAAATCCCATAAAATAAAAATTCAATTTTTAAATGAGAAAATTTAAGTTTGAAATTTCCCTAGTGGTTGCACCAGTTTACATTCCTACCACCAATGCAAAGGGTTCTCTTTTCTCCACATCCTCACTATTGCTATTTCTTGTCTTTCTAAGAATAGCCATTCTAACAGGTGTGGAATGTCTAATTGCGATTCTGATTTGCATTTCCCTGATGATTAGTGATGGTGAGCACCTCTTTGTAGGTGGCCATCTGTAGATCTTCTTTGGAAAAATGTCTATTCAGATCTTCTGCCTATTTTTTAATTGGTTTGTTTGGAGTTTTTTTTTTTTTGCTATTGAGTTGTATGAATTCTTTATATATTTTGGATATTAACTCCTTATCTGATAATGATTTACAAATATTTTCTTCCATTCAGTATATTGCCTTTTCATTTTTGTGAAAATGAAAAAATAAAAAGCTTTGCAGAAGCTTTTTAGTTTGATGTAGTCCCATTTGTTCATTTGGTCTATATTTATGCCAATACCATACTGTTTTGTTTACTATAACTTTGTGATGTAGTTTGAAATCAGGAAGCACGATATCTCCAGCTTTGTTTTCCTTTCTCATGATTGCTTTGGCTATTCAGGCTATTTTGTGGTTCCACATGAAATTTAGGATTGTTTGTCCTATTTTTGTGAAAAATACCATTGGAATTTTGATAGGGATTGTGTTGAATCTATATATTGCTTTGAGTAGTATGGACCTTTTAACAATATTAATTCTTCCCATCCATGAGCATGGAATATCTTCCCACTTATTTGTGTCTTCTTTAATTTCTTTCACAAATATAGTTTTCAGTATACAGGTCTTTCACCTCTTGGGTTAAATTTATTCCTAATTCAGAACAAATAATTCTGAGAAAGAAGAACAAAGCTGGAGGGATTATGCTCCCTGGCTTCAAGCTATACTACAAAGCTATGATAATCAAAACAGTATGGTACTGGCACAAGAACAGACCCATAGATCAATGGAACAGAATAGAGATATTAAACAAGCCCAGATACAAACCCACGCATACATGGTCAATTAATATATGATAAAGGAACCACGAATGTACAATGGGAAAAAGACAGCCTTTTCAATAACTTGTGTTGGGAAAACTGGACAGCTACATGCAAGAGAATAAAACTGGATTACCATCTAACTCCATACACAAAAGTAAACCCAAAGTGGATCAGAGACCTAAATGTGAGACATGAAACTGTAAAACTCTTAGAAGAAAACTTAGGCAAAAATCTCTTGAACATAAGTATGAGCAGTTTTTTCCTGGACACATCTCCTCAGGCAAGAGAAACAAAATAAAAAATGAACAAGTGGGACTACATCAAACTGAAAAGCTTCTATAGAGCAAAGGACACCATCAGCAGAACAAAAAGGCATCCTACAGTATGGGAGAATATATTTGTAAATGATTTATCTGTTAAGGAGTTAACAGCCAAAATATATAAAGAACTCATTCACCTCACCACCAAATAAAACCAAATAACTCAATTAAAGATGGGTGGAGGACCTGAACAGACATTTCTTCAAAGAAGAAATACAGATGGCCAACAGGCACATGAAAAGATGCTCCACATAGCTAATCATCAGGGAAATGCAAATTAAAACCACAATGAGATATCACCTCACACCAGTTAGAATAGCCACTATCCAAAAGACAAGAAATAACAAACATTGGCGAGGATGAGCAGTGGAAACACACCTACACTGTTGGTGGGAATGTAAATTGGTGCAGCCACTGTGCAGACAATAGGAAGGTTCCTCAAAAAAAGTTCCTAAAATTGGACCCAGTAATTTCACTTCTAGGAATTTACCTGAAGAAAACAAAGTCCCTGATTCAAAAAGATATATGCACCCCTATATGTATTGCCACATTATTTACAGTAGCCAAGATATGGGAGCAACCTAAGTGTATATCAATAGATGAATGGATAAAGAAGATGTGGTGCATACACATAATAGAATGTTATTCAGCCATTAAAAAAATGAAATTCTGCCTTTCACAACATGGATGGATCTAGAGGGTATTATGCTGACTGAAATAAGCCACATGGAGAACAACAGCTACTGTATGATTTCACTTATTTGTGGAATCTAAAAACAAAACAAAACGAAATGAACAAAGCAGTAGTAGATTCAGACACTGAGAAGTGACTGGTGGTTACCATGGAGGAGAGGTTGGAGTGGGTGGGTGGGGAAGGTAAGGGGTATAAAGGGGCACAAAAATTCTCAATCATAATATAAGTTGGTCACGGGGATAGTAGCACAGCATGGAGAATATAGCCAATGGGCCTGTAACATCTTCCTATGTTGACAGATAGTACCTGCACCAGTGGGGATGATTAAAATGTGGGTAACTGTTGAACCACTGTGTCGTATACTTGAAACTAATATAAGATTGTATATCAACGATACTTCAATTAAAAAAAATTTATTCCTAGTTTCCTTTATTGCATATTCTGCTTTAATCCAGTACATTTCCTGTCCCATTCCCAATCAGGATAATCACAACCATATTTTTTAGGAAATTCTTCAGGAAATTCTTCACAAGGAACCAAAAATATGTTACTAAAACAGATAGCTAGCCCCTGTGATGAGGAAATATGCCCTCCTGCTTGTCTCCAACCACTGGCCTTGCCCTCAGGCTTGAAGAAAGAACCCACGATTTCTTGGGGGCCTGTCTGTGCAGCTTCTCCTGTATTCTACCCACTCGTGCATACATGGTGGCAGGGAAGGTGTGTGTTGGCTGTGTTACTGACTCGTGATATTTTGTCTTTCAGAACCAGAGGCAGGAGAGGTCTCACCTCCAGTCGGTGCTGGTGTCAACAGCAACAGCTGGACCTTTAAGTACGGACCAGGCAACCCCAAACAATCTGGTCCCGGTGAGTTGTCAGACAAATTCATTATCCCAGGATCTCCTGCAATCATCTCTATCCGGCAGGAGCCTACTAACAGCCAAACTGACAAAAGTGACTTCATAACCTTCGGCAAAAAGGAAGAGACCAAGAAAAAGAAGAAAAAGAAGAAGGGTAACAAGACCCAGGAGAAAAAAGAGAAAGGGAACAGCACGACCGACACCAGTGACCAGTGAGGTCATCTAATGGAAACAAGCCACTTAGCCAGTTTTCTAATAATGGCAAATCTCTCCCATGTAGCAACTCCCACCTCCCTTCTCCTACCCCACGAGCCCTCTCTTAGAGACCTCAGACATCTGCACAAAGTTCCCTGTGTCTGTCTAGATCGCATTTAACAGAACAGGTTTTGTCTTAAAAGCTTTACCAAGTCTGGTGTTAACTCTTTTCTCTCCACTCTGGCTTGTTTTCAGAACCTAAAAAGCAGACCCAAGGTTCCTTTCTCCTCCGCCGCAAAGGAGAAGCTTCCCAGCCCCGCCAGTGAGAGGTTGGACTCTCTGCCCTGTGCTCCGGGGATCCTGTCTTGATGACACTTGCAGGGCAGGCGGAAAGGTTTTGAGATTGAGCAGCCTGGGTATCCAGGGCCACTGGGTTGTGTGGCCGCCGGCGTGCGTGAGTGCCAGATGTGGGCTGGGGTGGGCGAGATTAGACTAGTTGGTGCAAGGGGGGGGGCTGGTAAACAGAATCAAAGGCAAGTAAACAGAGGGAGTGACTGATCTGGAGGGGAAACATGAAAAAACTAAAAGGAACCAGACTTTCTAAATCTGACAACTCAAGAGGCAGTGGCCAGCCTCCAGCAGACAAAACCACCCCCACTGACAAAACTTTAGAAGTCCTGAAGTCTGTTGGCTGTGGAGTCATTATGCCTAAAATGCATTGTGCCTACAAGCCAACGGTTCAGCGTTAAACGGGGGCCAGCCGGGGCAGCAGAAGCAGATCTGATGTGCTTGCCGTGTATGTCCTGTGCTCGCTTTATTAAAAATTCTTTTGCACACAATGTTTATGAAAAGGCCGGGTCCTTTTCCAGCAACACATATGCAAAAGCAAAAGCAAAAAGAAAACCCCAACACCTCACTTTATGCTGTTTGTTGTTTGATAGATTTATTTCAAAAAGAGAAAGTCTCTAACTATAAATCTTTAAAAGAAATATGATAAATACAATTCCCCTAAACTCTCCTCAAAAGAGAATTCAGTCTACAGCCATTTAAATGATCATTGCTGCTACAGAAGTGCTTTAAGAGAATTGCCTGAAACCATCTGTATTATACCGGCCACCTGCCAATCACAGCTTTACTCTTTCAGGTCACTCTGGGGCTGCCTCTTGCATGTATTGATTACTAAATTAAAGGATCTTTCTCTCTCTCTTTTCTAAGAAACAATTATGTGCACTTTGAATACACAACCTTCTCTAGCCAACTGTATCAAGACCGAGAAATTAAAGAAAAATACTGTTTTCTCATACATACAGTGAGCCGACTTTTCAATCCTCTAATTCTGTGATTTGTCTTGGTGTGCTAGCCTACACCTTCTCTTTGGTTTAGTTTTCCTTTTCTATGACACTCTGAATTGCTAATCTTGCTAACACCTATGATGTTACCTGAATTCAATCTCCCATATGTATGCTGTATGCTATTATAAGACTCCTGAAATATACTTACTCTGTGCTTGTGTATGTGAATGTTAATGCAACTATTACCTAGAGTGAACTTTAAGCTTTATTGTTGAATGTAATTCCATTATATTCCTTTTGTACACCTGTGAAAAAGTGGAGTAGTGGTTTTTTTTTTAACCATTGTTAATCAGCTTTTGTGTATGAAAGACACAGTAAAATTTCTTTCTTAAATCAAGATACTGGTGATTCAAGGAATTTTATTTGTGGTCAGCCATGAGCCGTCTCTTGCCAAGACTCCTGCTGGCAAGGGAATGGATAAAGCTGTTTTTTCCTAGTAACAATTCTGGAATGAATACCGAAGATATTCTCTGAGGGTGTGCAAGCACAAAATTTACCAACCTGGCCTCTTTGAAGGCGCAGAATGCTTTGAAATTCTAATGCTATCTGGAATATCAGCTCATAGAGAATAATAAAATTTGCTGTCACCTTAAATAAGAAATCTTAATTTTTGTTAAAATGTACAATTTAGAAGTTTGATTACTTATATTTTAAAAGTTGACATAAAAGAGGTAGGAGTCTGTTATTAAAACAAAAGCATTAAATCTCAGAAAAAAAAACCTGTGTTGTCTACTTTTAGCTTCATTCTCCCATATTTTGAAGGGTGTGTAACTTCAGCTCTGCAGGATTGCATGGGGTAAAACTTGTTGCCAACACATGAACCATTGCTACATTGTAGGTTGTGATCATTTTGCCCCACTGAAACCCATGTACCTGACCTTACGTGCCTTTGGAATACTAGGAGAATCGGGCTAATTTAATAATGATGATGATTATAATGTATTTGTACAGCACTTGTACATTTGCAGAGTGCTTTCCAATCCATGTTAGTTACTAGTTATTACAGCTGTAAGGATAAAACACGTCGTGTGGATTCATTTTTAATTGGTGCTATTGGTATTTCTCCTGTTATTGCTAATAAATGGAAAATGGTGGTATGAAAGAAATGGTGGTCATTTCTAAGTATAAGAGTAGGAGAAAATCAGAACGCTGATTATCATTAGCTGTTATTACTGCAGAAGGTTGCAGTATGGAGCTCACTGTGTCAGTCTGGCTATCCCCCTAGCTTTTTATGTTCATTACTAAGGCAAAACACCCACTGGAATCAAGAATCAGACTCCACGGTATTACAGAAGGGCAGCCAGGAGGTTTCTGGGTCACTTACCAGTACACTACTTGAGTCTCCTCTAATAAGAATTGCAACAACCCAATTTTATCATAAGAGCCCTCCAGTCATCTTATTCTCTACTTGTTTAGCCTTTGCACCTCCCTACAAAGGTAGTCAAATAGTGCCCCCAAGGAATAAACTTGTGTAGATCTGATGTGCTTGCCGTGTATGTCCTGTGCTCGCTTTATTAAAAATTCTTTTGCACACAATGTTTATGAAAAGGCCGGGTCCTTTTCCAGCAACACATATGCAAAAGCAAAAGCAAAAAGAAAACCCCAACACCTCACTTTATGCTGTTTGTTGTTTGATAGATTTATTTCAAAAAGAGAAAGTCTCTAACTATAAATCTTTAAAAGAAATATGATAAATACAATTCCCCTAAACTCTCCTCAAAAGAGAATTCAGTCTACAGCCATTTAAATGATCATTGCTGCTACAGAAGTGCTTTAAGAGAATTGCCTGAAACCATCTGTATTATACCGGCCACCTGCCAATCACAGCTTTACTCTTTCAGGTCACTCTGGGGCTGCCTCTTGCATGTATTGATTACTAAATTAAAGGATCTTTCTCTCTCTCTTTTCTAAGAAACAATTATGTGCACTTTGAATACACAACCTTCTCTAGCCAACTGTATCAAGACCGAGAAATTAAAGAAAAATACTGTTTTCTCATACATACAGTGAGCCGACTTTTCAATCCTCTAATTCTGTGATTTGTCTTGGTGTGCTAGCCTACACCTTCTCTTTGGTTTAGTTTTCCTTTTCTATGACACTCTGAATTGCTAATCTTGCTAACACCTATGATGTTACCTGAATTCAATCTCCCATATGTATGCTGTATGCTATTATAAGACTCCTGAAATATACTTACTCTGTGCTTGTGTATGTGAATGTTAATGCAACTATTACCTAGAGTGAACTTTAAGCTTTATTGTTGAATGTAATTCCATTATATTCCTTTTGTACACCTGTGAAAAAGTGGAGTAGTGGTTTTTTTTTTAACCATTGTTAATCAGCTTTTGTGTATGAAAGACACAGTAAAATTTCTTTCTTAAATCAAGATACTGGTGATTCAAGGAATTTTATTTGTGGTCAGCCATGAGCCGTCTCTTGCCAAGACTCCTGCTGGCAAGGGAATGGATAAAGCTGTTTTTTCCTAGTAACAATTCTGGAATGAATACCGAAGATATTCTCTGAGGGTGTGCAAGCACAAAATTTACCAACTTGGCCTCTTTGAAGGTGCAGAATGCTTTGAAATTCTAATGATATCTGGAATATCAGCTCATAGAGAATAATAAAATTTGCTGTCACCTTAAATAAGAAATCTTAATTTTTGTTAAAATGTACAATTTAGAAGTTTGATTACTTATATTTTAAAAGTTGACATAAAAGAGGTAGGAGTCTGTTATTAAAACAAAAGCATTAAATCTCAGAAAAAAAACCTGTGTTGTCTACTTTTAGCTTCATTCTCCCATATTTTGAAGGGTGTGTAACTTCAGCTCTGCAGGATTGCATGGGGTAAAACTTGTTGCCAACACATGAACCATTGCTACATTGTAGGTTGTGATCATTTTGCCCCACTGAAACCCATGTACCTGACCTTACGTGCCTTTGGAATACTAGGAGAATCGGGCTAATTTAATAATGATGATGATTATAATGTATTTGTACAGCACTTGTACATTTGCAGAGTGCTTTCCAATCCATGTTAGTTACTAGTTATTACAGCTGTAAGGATAAAACACGTCGTGTGGATTCATTTTTAATTGGTGCTATTGGTATTTCTCCTGTTATTGCTAATAAATGGAAAATGGTGGTATGAAAGAAATGGTGGTCATTTCTAAGTATAAGAGTAGGAGAAAATCAGAACGCTGATTATCATTAGCTGTTATTACTGCAGAAGGCTGCAGTATGGAGCTCACTGTGTCAGTCTGGCTATCCCCCTAGCTTTTTATGTTCATTACTAAGGCAAAACACCCACTGGAATCAAGAATGAGACTCCACGGTATTACAGAAGGGCAGCCAGGAGGTTTCTGGGTCACTTACCAGCACACTACTTGAGTCTCCTCTAATAAGAATTGCAACAACCCAATTTTATCATAAGAGCCCTCCAGTCATCTTATTCTCTACTTGTTTAGCCTTTGCACCTCCCTACAAAGGTAGTCAAATAGTGCCCCCAAGGAATAAACTTGTGTCGAGTACAGGGTATATGCTAGCTACTGTACTGGGTAGGTTGGGTTCATAGTGCATGTTCTGTAACAAATAAATTAGATTTTCCTTCTGTAGTTAAATTTTTTTATGAGTCTGGGATTTGGACACAGTTATTCTTAACTGGGAGCAATTTTGCCCCTGAGGGACACTTGGCAACATCTGGAGGCATTTTTGTTGTTGTTACTTGGGTGGGAGATGCTATTGGCATATAGTGGGTAAAGGCCAAAGATGCTACTAAATGCATGAGATGACCCCCACCACAAAGAATGTTCCAGCCCAAGAATGTCAATAGTACCAAGATAGAAAAACTTGAGATAGAGTGACAATATAATTAATTGTCCAGTCAATTTTTGAGTTGGACACCATTAATCATTACTTTAGGATACAAGATGCCAGCTGGGACTATCGCAGGCAAGCTGGGACATATGGTGAGTCTACTTACAGGAAGAAATAAACCAGTACAGCTCTGCCACTTACTAGCTGGAGAACCATGGGTAAACCACTGTGTCTCTGTTGTCAGCCTCAATGTTGTCATCTAAAAATGGAACTCATTATAGTCCAGACCTTAGAGATTTGTGGGGACGATTTAGTGAAATAATGTCAAAAAAGTTTCAGCACGTGTCTGGCACACCATTGCACTCAATAAATCGTTATTATTATAAATCCTTTTCTTCCATCTCCTCACCCCATTTTCAGAGATTAAGCTATTACATTGAGGGCACTTTTCTACTGTTAATGTGTGAATGAGGGATGGCAAGATACATAAACATAGACTTTGCAATAAAAATATTTTTACTGCTCCACTTTTTGGTTCACCCCTGCCTGAAAGAAAAGTAAAATCCATTTCCTAACTCTTTACCTATTTCTATCATAAACAATAATAAGGCCTCTAAGTGGTCAAGTGACCAACCAATCAGCCCAAACGGTTTACAGCTGTTCCCTGATCAATGACATGATCAGTTATAGCTGTTCCACTGATCAGTGAAAGCCAAGGACCAAGGGGCTTGAAGAAGTCACTCTGCACGTTCAAAGGAATAAATTTCACGTAAGCCTAAGTACGGCAGCTTGGGAGAGAGTCACTGCCAACAACTTCTTTTTGGCAAATGGGCAAGACACCAAAAGATCCATAGACTTGCCTTGTGTCTTACAGCTAATCAGGAACAAAGTGTATTTCTCTTAACGGCCAGGTTACTTGATATGGGCCTCAATATAGACAGGGCAGGATCCACTCTTTAGAAGAATCGCAAGTCATCTGATTTTAAAGGATGAGGTTCCTCAATGAGTGTTCAGAGCCTTGGCTGTTGGCTTTTACTCTAAGGTAAGTTTCTGAGTCCCAGGATCTCATATTAGTGTTCTTTATGTTTTATAAATTCAAAACTCAGCTCCAAAGCTCAAATGTAATTGGTCAAACACTAATGCAATTCTTGTGTTAAATTTAGATGTTAAAACGACCAAAACATCAAGAGGCACGTAAAACAAACATGCAAAAGACTACAGATAAACTAATTTAGGACTTGAAGGCCCCGAGAGCTTCTCTAAGGGAACAGGAAATTGGTCGCTCTTCGGCTCTATTTCATCCTTTTTCATGTGCTTCCTCTCCTTGTAGAAGAAGCTGATCACATAATTTCCCCAGAATTAGCATGGCTGCTGACTCGCAGGATGTATAATTTACAATCTGAGAAATCCCTTCTGACTTCAGGCACGCATACATGCACACAGAGGGCTACTCCTGCTACAATTAGAAAGGGGCCTTTCTAGTAAAGGAGCATGTGCCTCAGAGTGGTATATAGCAACCTTATGTCAGGACTAGTTAGACGAAATGTTTGTTCGTTCTCATTTTCTCCTGAGGTGGGGAAATTTGCCTACTGACACTTTAAAGTCCATGAGTTTGTCTCTGGGTTTAAGCTCCTATGAGATAGACACTGACAGATTTATTTCCATAATACGGAGTCTAGTCTGCATGAAGAAATGAGGGAGATTGAGTAGTGAAAAACATAAAGCCCAGCAATGTGTTAGACTTGCAGTTATCATGTGACCTGGCAATCATCAATCCACAAAGAATGCGAACAATTCCGACAACAATCCAGTAGCTGGATTCAGAGCACGGCTAAAAAAAAATGGACAACCGAGGCATATTCAAGAGACACAATTAAACAGAACCTGTTTTTAAGCTTTGCTTTCACTAGCCAAACTTTACTTAATTTTATGTGACATTGAACTTTTATTATAAAAGGAATACATGTTCTTTTTTATAAATTAAATAATCCAGAGGAGCATAAAGAAAATTGTTAATCTTCTCACCAGCCTCTTTCAATTCTCTCTGACACAGGTATCCAATAATGACATGTTCAGGTGTGTTTCTCTACATCTTTCCCTATGTGTGCGCATGCACACACACACACACACACACAGATACTCATAATCAGGAATGACTCTTCAGTCAATGAGCACAGTGCCATTCTCCTTTGAAGTTGTGCCTGAGTAGGGCAGATATACTACCCCTATTGTCATGTTGGGGAGGCAGCATTTTCCTCTGCTTTTCAAGGTTCTTCTCACTAGTCAAAG